CAGTAATCTGGTTCCATCAGTAATCTGGCACCAATTTCTGCCAGCATAATTTCAAATTTCCAGGGTCGCCGCACCAACCTGCTGCTACTGTTTGGTGGCGCTACTTGCTGCATAAGTCATTCCAATTTCTTTTTCTCCATTTATTGTTATAACCTGCTCACTTTAAGCCCTAGCCATGGTTCCAACAAATAATAGAAATGCTTCTTGCTGTTTAAACCACATACACCGTACATTGTCCATAAAAAATGAGGTGGCTTTGAAGCCACTATCGGTCGCCATGAGCTCAGCTCACTCAGATAAGCTGTGACTGGTAAATTTGGGCCTATATATGAGAGAATAGGCCTGTGTGATTAGTGTGCAATATATAAAAACATCTTGCAGCACACAGTGCATGCGAAAAAACTGTGACCTTGTTTTTGGTGTAAAACAGTGATTTTGCAGTGTATTTTCACATGGTTCTTATGGTTGTATTCTCATTTTTTTTTGGTCTCCTGTGATAGAATGGAAGATATATTACAGAAATAGATAATATTTTAATTGGTTTCACGACAGAAAGTACTTCGAAATTGAGCTCAAAGTAGTGGAAATGTTCTATTTTTGGTGATGTTCAAGAGTAAACAAATGATGTCACTGTCCAATACGTATCCAACTGGTTGGTCTAATACACGATCACAAATGGGTTGACATTATATATACAATTATTACAATACTCCAGTAGTCTGCATAACAGTAAATCTTCTGTTTTTTGTGTGAATAAAAATTCAGAATGGAAAGCAAGCATAATATAAGAGGGGCCAGATGTGACTAGTGATCAGAGAAAATTTTATTTTAGTGCCAGGAATGTCTGTATTGTTTATTCTGGACCCTATTTTGAAAGTGGCATCTCTTGAAATTTGTGTGAAATTGGACAAATTACTAATTTCTGACCACTTTATTGGGTAGTTGAAACAGGTAAATGGGCAGTTTCTTGTACTCAATAGACAGATTAGAACGAATACTAGCGAAATAGCTGTGAGTTTGGTAGACTGGAACAATGGAGTGGTCCAAAAACAGAGCATAAAGTGGGCAAAAGTGCTGTGTAAATACTGCCACTAGGTTAAGTGTATTCTAACCTAAGTACTCTATAATCCAGCAGATTCACTAATCCAGCACCCTACAGGTCCCGATGATGCCAGACTCGTGATGGCAAACCTGTACAGGAGTTTTTCAGAAAGTTGACTGCATATGAAATGAGAATGTCTCAATATCATGAAACAATCAAAATGCACGAAGTGTACTTGAGGCTAATCCAGTGACCTCACATATGCAAGATCACTATACCACCTAGGCCAAAGCAGGTGCAAGATGAGCTAAAATAGTTTTTATACACTCGAAAGTCTAGTCGATATGGGAGTTATCCAGTACAATAATTATATATGTCACTTACCATATTCATATTTTTTCTCATACAGAAACATTGCTGTATTTATATATGTCTCTTGAAATATTTTATCCCATTCAGCTTCTCTCAAATACTGCCATATAGTAGTTTCCTTTCTTATAACCCAATCATTCCTGTTTGTGTTTTTCTTTTTTCCTCACCTAAGTCGTATTAAAGTGTGCAATAATTCTAATAAAATGTGGTCACTATTTCCATGTGGGTTAAGATAGCTTATGTTAAAATTTCTTTATTCAAGTAAACACCAGGCCAAGTATTGGTGGTGTGTAATATTCTCTCATTTATGTCATTTCACTTACATAATAAGCCTGTCATTACGCTAAGGAACTCCGGTGACTATTTATTCACAATTCCAGTCTCATAGGTTACCAATTTCCTTATAGATGTAATCTCCAAAGATAATGACTTTCTTATGGTGGTCACTTTTCATTAACACTTCCCTGATTATGTTAAATAATCCCTTATTTATCTTGTCAAATTCTTGACCCTCCCAATTTATATTAAACAGTGGACTGTATGCAGTGACAACTAAATTTCTTTTTATCTTTATTTTGGATTTCTACCACTATAATTTCAAAATTACTTGTACTTTGGATTTTAATTTCTGAAGCTCATATTGTTTCTTTTACAGTGGACCCCCGGTATTCGATGGCATCGGTATTCGATAAATCCGGTATTCGATGCATTTTAACGCAAAAATTTTGCCTCGGTATCCGATTGAAAACCCGGTATTCGATACGATTCGTACGAGACGTGTCCACGTGTGGCCCGAACTGCCCCTTGTGTGCCAGTGTTTACAAGCCAGCCAGTATGCGCGCATCTAAGGATACATTCGGTACATTCCATATTATCCATATTATCACTGTTTTTGGTGCTTGTTTCTGCAAAATAAGTCACCATGGGCCCCAAGAAAGCTTCTAGTGCCAACCCTGTGGTAAAAAGGGTGAGAATTAGTATGGAAATTAAGAAAGATTTTGAAGGGTTTGGGGCTAACCCTGAGAAGCCTATGCCAGTTGTGGAATCTGGTGGCCTGGTGGTTAACGCTCTCGCTTCGCACGGCGAGGGCCTGGGTTCGATTCCCAGCCAGAGTAGAAACATTGGACGTGTTTCTTTCCACCTGTTGTCTATGTTCCCCATCAGTAAAATGGGTACCTGGGTGTTAGTCGACTGGTGTGGGTCGCATCCTGGGACACTGACCTAATTTGCCCGAAATGCGGAGCATAACAAGGGACTTTCTATATAGTAGTATGTCATTGTTGTCAGCTAGGACTGTATACCTTGTACATGTACTTGTACTAAATAAAGATATTATTATTATTATTATTATTATTATTATTATTATTATTATATTATTATTATTGTGCCTACTTCAAAAATTAAGGAAATGTGTGCACAGTGGGCTGAAGTGCAAATCACCCATGAATGAAAATCACCCTAACACAGCTATTGCAAGCCGTGCTGGTGACTATTACAATGACAATGATGTGGCCCATTTTAGACAAATCGTAAAGGAACGGGAGGTACAGAGCTCTATGGACAGATTTGTTGCGCGACAGAGGTCCAGTGACTCTCAAGCTGGTCCTAGTGGCATTAAAAGAAGGGAAGTAACCCCGGAAAAGGACTTCCTACCTCAAGTCCTAATGGAAGGGGATTCCCCTTCTAAACACTAACACCATCCACACTCTCCCCTCCTCCCATCCCATCAATCATCACCAGATCTTCAATAAAGGTAAGTGTCATGCAACTGCGCATGTCTTCTTCAGTTTGTGTGTATTAAAATTAATATTTCATGTGGTAAAAAAAAAAAAATTTCATACTTTTGGGTGTCTTGCAGGGATTAATTTGATTTCCATTATTTCTTATGGGGAAAATTGATTTGCTTTTCGATATTTTCGGTATTCGATGAGCTCTCAGGAACGGATTAATATCGAATACCGGGGGTCCACTGTACTAATACTGCCACTCCCTTTCCCTTCTTACCATCTCTTCCCACACAATGAGTTGTTTTTGCCACATAACCTCATTCAAGTTAGGTTTTTGCAGTTTAGTTTCAGTTAGGCAGACTATATCAGTTGTGTTCTCATGCATATCCCTCACCTGTAGTCTTTTGAAATTACCCCATTTATGTTATATAAATTTTCACAAATGAGCTTGTCTCACCGTTTTCATTTTAATTTTAATTTGGTTATTCACTGTTATGTGTTCATTTCCTTGAGATACCATCTAACAGGTTGGTTTTGTCACTAAAATTTTTTTTTTCTTCCTCAATTTCATCATTTAACAGCTTATCAGTGTTAAAAAGTCTTTTATTTTTTTTCCTGTCCTCTTTTTCAGAGTTCTAATTTGTACATCCTTATAACCATTAAAATTGCACTGCAGTCTTAGCTTTCAGCTAAGCCTGTGTAAATATTTTTCAGTGGCCCGTTTTTATTATTTTCAAATATTGTTATTCTCCTATACTCCACTATATGACCTTGAATATTTATGTTCTCTAAGCAAATGTAAATTACTTATACCATTAGTACTAAATGTCTTTATTTGATACTGACTTAAGTAAAGAGTTCAATCAAAAGCTTAATAGAAAATATTCCATTAGCACAATTACATAATTACTATATAACAACAATTACATAAATTTATCTAATCGGGTTAAAATAATATGGCACCAGAATTATAATAATCAATCATTATTATAGAATTGTATAGGAAAATTCTATGTAGTTACCATAACTGCTGGTCTTCTCTTAGAGCAATATATTCCTACAAATGAAGTATACAGGTATTCTGGAAAGATAATTATTCCTTTTAGCATTTCTCTGATTTAAAAAATATATTAAATTTAAATAATAAACAATAGATTTCATGCAGAAACCTATAAAGCAATATTAGGAGTTTTATTGATGAAACAGATTGGAATTAATGAAATATATCACTGTCGCTAATTATTTTTATGGCAAATGGGATAGTTAACCGGCGAATATAATAGAAAGAAAGAAAAAGATATGGGTGTTGGCAGTCAATGTTTTGAGTAACTCCTTAGGGTGACAAGATAGTCAGCCCTTCTGCGCAACTCTGTCTCGTTGTGGCCTTCATACAGTCATTTGTTCACATAATGCGTCTGCTTACTTTAAGTGTACGTTTTGTAATTTTATACGTCGTAAGAACATACCTAAGACTAAATATCCGACCTTAACAACGAGGAGAATCTTGGAACTTTCCTAGCATTCTCTGGTGAATATGGCGGTCTTGTTAGCCAATCAGGATCGAGCTCAGACATTTTCATCACAGCAACTATATTCCAATTAACAAAAATTACCAGACTTAAATTGTTTTCTACAATTATTCTTAATAAATTTTATAAAATATATAATGTACATCCATAATTGGTAAAAGGTTTGTTTGCATGTTTTAATTCTTTTATATTTTCCTTCAGAAACTGTAGATTTACATTTGCATGTTTACAGTTCCAGCTGATAGAGCAGTGTGTGTCGACCATCCGTCAGCGGCCTGTGTCGACCATGACGTCAGAGGTGAGGCAGTATCACCAAGGTTGGTACCTACTATGTGTCTTCAGTGTGGTCAGTGGTCCTCTTTGGGCAAAGTTGAGTATGTAGACGAGTGAGCTGTGGGTTCAGCGAATTCTTTTTGCTTATGGAATGTGTCTCTCAGTGCTTTGGTATCCTGGAAACTTCAAATGCATATGATGAGAACAGTTCCCCCAGACAAAGTGTAGTTTGCATTGTCATATATGCTATGATATCTATATTTTGAAATTATTCATGGGGAATTAACACATTCAGCTAAGCAAATTGCAAATATAATTGTGCATTCAAAAGCAGTGAACATTTATTGAGTCAGGCTTTGCAATTACATTTTGCTTTACCACTAGGGAACGCAAGTTTGCTTTTTCATTACTTTTAAGTTCCCCAACAGTTCTTCAGCTGGCCCTCATTGTATCAGGTGTCGGTCCAGAGCTGCATCACTTAACTCGAGCAAACGGGAATGCACAGTTAGCTCAATGTCTGCGGTTGCTCTGGAAAGACAGTACCTGTGGAGGCCTAATCTGCAAGACCTCAGCTCGCACATTCAACCACCTGCTTCTCTACATCCCCCCACCTGCATTTTAAACTCGCCGAGACAGCTTACTTATTTACCTGCAGCCCATTTAGCTGGTTCTCATAACCTAAACACGTCAATTATCGCTGCCTCCTCCCAGAGTCAAATTCTACCGTCTCACACAGATATTTCTTATCAAAGTCAGTCTCTACATTTATCCAGCACCAGCTTGGTCAAGAAGCATTCTGCTCTACAAAATCCTACAGAGGGCCATCCGCGAAGTCCTACGCTGGCCCTAAGCATGCATGCTCAGGCTAATTCTGCTAGCCTCGTTTTCAATGCTATAGAAGACATCCTCGCCCCAAGGAAGCTCTCCTCAGAGGTTCTGGAGCTAGAGCCTAGCTGTGCACCGCACAGTTTTGCTGCCAGTATTCATCACAGTACCTGTAGCCAAAACAGCGGGGCCACAACCACTTTAACCCACCTCAAAGCCAATGACTCTACAGACTCGGACAAAAATCCCAGCAGCTGCTGCTGCTGTAGAGGCAGAGGCTACAGCAAAGGTAACAGCGCTAGAGGCATGGCTACTAAGTGTAAAGGTGTGAGCTTCCCAAGACGTCGACTCACAGACGAGGAAGGCTACATTAGAAGGGCAGCTTGTGTGTGCCTCAACAAGGAAGAAACTCAGGTAAGAGGCCACTTTATATTTTCATTACACCCTTCGAAGAAGGTACTTTGATGCTGATGACGGACTTTTACTCCAAGGAATCCGAGGTGCCCTTCCTTTCATCAGTTCAAGCCTCATTACCTCCCATTCCCCAGACGTTGGCTACCTTATGAAATTATCTTAAATATTCAGTGACAAAATCACTCGTTAAATAAGAAAAGAAATTAAAATTAAGCCTTATACAGCATAACCATTAATATTGAGGCCTGGTCTGAGACCGAATCACGGGATGATTATTATTATTATAATCAAGGGGAAGAGCTAAACCCTTAGGATTATCCAGCGCCTGTGGGCGGGGGGAAGAATTGAAGGTATTCAGGCTTAATTCAGGGAACTGGAGCACAGATCCAATTCCTGGGATCATCGCTCCCGTGGTTCGTCCCCTCAAGGAAGGTTCCTTGACGCTGGTGAGGGGCTCTTGATCTCGGGAATTGGATCTGCTCCAGTTTCCTGAATTAAGCCTGAATACCTCCCATCCTCACCGCCCCACAGGCGCTGTATAATCTTACGGGTTTAGCGCTTCCCCTAATAATAATAATCCCGTGGTTCGGTCTCAGACTAGGCCTCAGTGTTAATGGTTATGCTGTATACGACTTAATTTTAATTTCGTTTCTTATTTAAAGAGTGATTTTGTCACTGAATATTTAAGATGATTTCATAAAGTAGCCAACAGACGAACACCATTTTACATCTTGCTCCAGTGTTGGTTTGTAATTTAATTGAAGTACATTTCTTAGACCAAAATAATGCTCCACGCATTGCACGGGGAGAAGAGATGAAACAATGATGGGGATGGAAAGATAGAGGTCAGTCCTCCGACGGATTTTGTTCCCAGTAACTAGCTAACATCAAGACTAAATGTTTTGCACATTAAGTGAAGCCACTAATATTATATCGTCTTTGGTGTGAGAAGAATCCTCACAGGCTAGAAGTACGATGCTTAAAATATTTTGTTTGCATTTCTGTTTTTGTGCCAAATCGTTTACTACACGCATTCCGCATACTATTAATAAATATTAAAAAGTTTCCATTATAAATTGTAAGTAATTTTTGCATCTGTAGCTACCGTCAATTACTAGGTGGAACGCAGTCATTATTTTGCACATTTCAGTACATACAACATATGTATGCTTATAATAATGTGTACGTCATGGAAATAATGTTTCCCATACAAATTTTTAATTGAGGTGATATTACCGAAAGTCGGTTAGGTTTGGTTAAGTAAGTTTATTTAGGCACAGATACACATAAGTACTATTATCATAGTGTAAATTACCTGATAACCTCCCCCAAAAAAACAGAGTGACTTATTTCCATTGGGGTCCTGGTTAGGTTAGGTTACATTTAATTAATGTTAGGTTACGTTTGATTAGGTTAAATTTTAAGTAACAACCTGAAAGTGCCACCTGATTTTTGTTTACATTCGGCCAGGCACGAGACACCGCAGCTGCGCTACCTAAATGTATTTATTTTCTTCGTATCTCAAAATAACAATTTGCACAAGAAATGATTACTTATTTAATTCTTTACATGAATTGCATATATTGAAAGGTGTAAAATAATTACCGAGTTCCACTGCGTAGTCTGTAACTAGTAGAGGCGTAGCTCTTGAGAATTTTTTTAATGTTGATATCAAGTATGGTTTATTCTGGTGGAAGTACTGCAGTAGCCTGGTAGGCAACGCTTTCGCTTCACAAGCTAAGTGTCCGTGGTTCGATCCCCGGCAAGAGGTAGGAACATTGGGCGTGTTTCCTTACACCTGTTGTCCCGTTCACCTGGGTGTTAATCGACTGGTGTTTACCTGGAGTTTACCTGGAGAGAGTTTCGGGTGTGGGTCGCATCCTGGGGGACAAGATTGAGGACCTCGGTGGAAATGAGAGCCCCTCGAACGAACGAACGAAAGATCAGGTAAGATCCCAAATGGGATGAGCGGGGAAGACGGGACAGACGAAGAATAGTGCTGGAGAGGAGTGTTCTTAGTCGTAGAAATAGAGCCAGGGCTTAACCCAGCAGCGAAGGCGATCGTGGGACAGATATTAAGAGAAATTCAGCCTCTTCTGTTGGGACTCCGGTGGGGTGAGCGGGGAGGAAGGGACATGCGACGTTTAGCGCTAGAGAGGAGTGTAGAACTGAGCCATGTCTTAACCCAAACGCTAAAGCGAACGTGGGTCAGAGAATGGTACCTGTCATAGAAGGTACCTGTCAGCGAATCCAAGGTTATTGTAAATAGGGTTAGGAGCAGGATCATACAAGGAGTAGAAAAGGTTGTGTTGGTTTGTGGGTCTGCGAATGTCTTCGTCAAGGAGAGAGGTCCAGTAGTCATGTCGTGTTTCAAGTTTTTCTATCTGTCACTGAGCGTCTTCCAGTACAGATTCAGCGCAGGGATGTCTAACTGGGCATGGAGAGACTCGCTTGTGGCGAAGTCCTCCCATCTGAAATTAAGCACCCAGCGCAGCGCCTTGTTCTGGACTCGCTGCAGTTTAAGTTTTTGCTGCAAGAGAGAGGGCTAGAGGAGAGTAAGTTATCAGAGGACGTATTAGGGATTTGTAGAGGTGTAGTTTGGTGCGTTGAGAGGCGTGTTTCAGCTTTGAGTGAATGTGTCCGTGTAAACGAAGAAGGTAGTCAAGATTAACGCCAAGGACAGTGACAGATTGTGTGATGGGGATGTAAGTGCGGGTGTCAGCTGTTCTGAGCTCGACAGGTAATGGAGGATCACGTTTCCTGTAGTTAAAATACGTAATGCTGGATTTAGCTGCATTGGTTTTGATCCATTTTTGTTCCCAGATGGCTATCTTGTCGACCTCATTTTGTGTTTTGTGTGAGTGTATCTATATTGGCATGAGTGATAAGTTGTGTAATGTCGTCTGCATAGGCTAGTGTGATGGAGTTGTGATATACAGGTGTTGGAATGTCGTTAGTGTATAAAATGTAGAGGGTAGGGGAGAGGACAGATCCCTGGGGTACTCCGGCATTTAGTGTGAAGTAGTCAGAGTAACAGCCTTGGAATTTTATTCTCATGGTACGGCCGTCTAGGAAGTTGCAGAGGAGTTTACGAGTAGTGAGAGGCAGGTTAAAGTTAGTGCAGAGTTTGTACTTGAGCCCTTCGTGCCAGACAGTGTCAAAAGCTTTTTCAACGTCTTTTGCAACCAGGGCTGTCCTGTTTCTTTGTTTTGTGTTTATGTGGATGTAGTTGAGAATGATGTTAATGGCATCCTGTGTGGATCTGTGTTCTGAAGCCAAACTGGCCATCAGAAAGTAGAGAATTGTGTTCCAGGTATCTACGAAGGCGATGATTAATGAGTTTTTCAAAGAGTTTTCCTAAAGTTTCGAGGAGGCTGATAGGGCGATAGTTTTCTAGGGTCAGAGTGGTCTTTATTGGGTTTAGGAAGGAGGATAGCAATAGCAGCTTTGAAGAGGGAAGGGAAGTATCCAGAGGCAAGGGAGTCATTGAGGAGGTTTGTGTAGGCAGTAATGATAGTCAGGAAGGTGTTTTAGGATAATATGGTTTAGGCCAGAGGCACCAGGAGCCTTGGGAGGAAGGTGTCTGAGGAGAGTTTTAATGTCTGTGTTGGTGAAGCCCCTCGATGACGCACTGCCTTACTTGGGTTATCCTGTGGCTAACCCTCCGGGGTTCAAAAGCCGAACAAAATGTTATCTTAATGTCGGTATCATGTACTTGTGGAAATAAAAAAAAAATAACCAATAGACTTGAGCAGAAATAATCAACAATGATGGATTTTCTTGGGTTAATAATTATTCGTGTTAAATTGTATTCTTATAGTTACATTTACGATAATGCGAAAAATCTGGCAGTTTTTCTATTTTTTTTTTTCGTGTGACACGCTTGAGTGCTAAGGTGTTAACCCAGTCATAGAGATTATTATTGCAGACATGGAAGCTTATATTCATACAAGGGGAATCTCTGATATCATGACTCAGCACAAACCACCCTGTTTATACTACATGTAATAAAATTATAACCTAATTATTATGACACAGGATCACAGTTTGAGAGCACGAAAGCGTTAGGAATTTAAGTCACCTTTCGTTGTGGTTAAATTGCATGTAATTATTTATACGTAGTGATATAACAACTTTGATAATTCTTTGACACGATTGTGTGGTAGTACTTTGCTTTTAAAATTGGGCGGATTATTATTATAATCAAGGGGGAGCGCTAAACCCGTAAGAATATGCAGCGCCTTGGGGGGAGGGAATGTGGAAGGTATTCAGGCTTAATTCAGGGAACTGGAGCGCAGACCCAATTCCCTAGATCAAGAGCCCCTCACGAACATCAAGGAACCTTCCATGAGGGGAAAATTGGGCGGAAAGTTTACCATCCTAAATATTGATTCTGTACAGTGTGAACCGGTAAAACAAGGGTAGGTCTCGGTCAAATGACCGAAAACCCCACTGAATGGGTTGTCATATGATTTAAGTCAGGAGAAATTACCGATTCATGCTGACAAAATATTTTGTCTTTGAAAATAGTGTAAATAAGGTAGCATATATGCGATATTGATAAGCTATATAATATTTTAAGTTGGTCATCAATTTATTAAATCTGATGATCAAATATCAGAGTATCTGAATGTTAGTTATGACTTTAGATGTGTGTACTGCGCGTAGTAAAGGAGAAGCTGGTTGCTGATGACTCAGATTGTGAGCCATTGCTGTATTCTTATTTTTCAGTGTTGTGAAAGGTAGTGTGAATAAAAGTCACATGAGAGGAGGGAGGTTCTTGTGTCCACTACTCCGTGCGCTGAATGACCCATACTGGTTTAGCTTTTCGTAACAAATATGATAATCTGTCATGTAAGCGCGGCTGGACTTCTGCGCAAATCATTACATCTAGGCTGATGGCATGCTCTTAGCTCTTCAGTAATAACGAAGCTAAATCACCGTGGTTGTAAGCCTAACACGTGCAAGTAAGTCTAACGTTATTGAGTGGTGGGCCGTTT